TTTGTTAAATATTGCTAATGAACTTTTTTCGGGAATAAGTTGAATGTATAATCAGTTTTTTTTTCAAATGCAGCATAGAAATAAGAAATATTCAGGTAATTGATACATGATTCTTTTGGTTCTATCATTGAATTTCTGAGCTCTCAGCTGTAACTTGTTAAGGCATCTTTTAAACTATCTCAGACATTATGAATGCAGTACTCAGTAATGATTTTTATAACCCTTAGCATTGTTTTGGTTCATTTTCTTCATACTACTTAGGGTATCATCATATGACAAGATAACTATATACCCCTCTATAGACACTTAATATTTTTTAATATTTATTGTTCCATGTTCATATTTACCCCAAATTAGAATAATCAGTAGGTATAATTTACCTGAAATGTCAGCTCTACAGCACACTTTTCCTGAATTTCTGATTTAGCCTGAGTAGGGGAACTAGGTTTCAGTTTAAGGATACCTTTGTTTTGTGATTTTGTGATATAGTAGAAATCAAAGCTTCTTTTAAGTATAGAAGGTTGGTGTTATAATTATTTGGGGGGATAGTCAGGCTCCCATTTTTAGTTCTTTTTTTTTTTTTTTTTTTTTTTTTTGTGACAGGGTTTCACTCTGTTGCCCAGGTTGGAGTGTAGTGGCGCCATCTAGGCTTACTGCAGCCTTCGTCTCCTGGGCTAAAGTGGCCCTCCCATTTCAGTCTCCTAAGCAGCTGGGACTGTAGGCACAAGCCACTGTGTCTGGCCCATTTTTATATTTGTATTTTTGTAGAGACAGAGTTTTGCCATGTTGCTCAGGCTGGTCTTGAATTCCTGAACTCAAGCAATCCGCCTGCTTTGGCCTCCCAAAGTGTTGGGATTACAGGTATGAACAACCACGCCCGGCCCCATTTTTAGTTCTAATAGGCCTGTATGTATCACCCACCTTGTCAAACTTGTGTGTAATTTTTTTAAAAAAGGTTTCACCCACCTTGTCAAAGTTGTGTGTAATTTTTAAAAAGGGTTTCTTCCTTCTTTAATTTGAAACAGAGTCTCACTCTATTGCCCAGGCTGGAGTGCAGTGGCATAATCTTGGCTCACTGCAACCTCCACCTGCCGGGTTCTAGTGATTCTCCTACCTCAGCCTCCCAAGTACCTGGGATTACAGGCACGCACTACCACGCCCAGCTAATTTTTGTATTTTTAGTAGAGACAGGGTTTTACCATGTTGACCAGGCTGGTCTCGAACTTCTGACCTCAGGTGATTCACCTGCCTTGGCTTCTTACAGTGTTGGAATTACAGGCATGAGCCACTGTGCCCAGCATCTTCCTATTTTGTTTTAAAACAGCTTTACTGACATGATTGACATACCAAACAATTCACCTGTTTGAAGTGTACAATTCAGTGGTTTTGATATCTTACTAATTTTTAAAAATTGTGGTAAAATAACAAAATTTGCCATTTTGACCACTTTTACATGTACAATTCAGTGGCATTAATTTACATTTATAATGTTATGTAATGACCATCACTATCTGTCTCTAAAACGTTTTCATTATCCAAAGAAATTCTGTAACCATTAGGCCCTGACTTTTCATTCTCCTGTCCCCCAGCCTTTAGTAACCTCTAATCTACTTTCTGTCTCTATGAATTTGCCTATTCTAGATATTTCATATAAGTGAAATATTTGCCTTTTAATGCCTGGCTTATTTTACTTAGCATGTTTTCAAGATTCATCCACATTATGGCATGTATCATACCTTAACTTCATTTTAAAGCTGCTTAACATACTGTTGTGTGTGTGTGTTTGTGAGCTGCACAAACCAAATACCACATGTTCTCACTCATAAGTGGCAGATGAACAATGAGAACACGTGGACACAGGTAGGGGAACAACACACACCAGGGCCTGTCAGGGGGTGGGATCCAAGGGGAGGGAAGTTTTGTTTATCTCTTCATCTCTTGATGGACATTTGGATAATTTCTACCTTTTGGCTACTGTGAATAATGGTGCCATGAACATAATTGTACAGATAATCTGTTTGAATCTCTTTTGATTCTCTTGGGTACATAGGAATGGAATTGCTGGGATATGTTGGTAAATCTATGTTTAGCTTTTTGAGGAACTACCCAACTGTTTTACAAAGCAGCTGTAACATTTTATATCCCCTCTAACAATGTATGAGGGTTCCAGTTTCTCCACATCCTCATCACTTGTTATTTTTTGTTTTATTTAATTAATTAAAAAATTACAACTATTGTAGAGGTTGTGAAGTGGTATCTCATTGTGATTTTGGTTTGCACTTCCCTAATGATTAGTGATGTTGAGTATCTTTTCATATGTGTATTGGCCATTTTTTAATATCTTCACCACATGTATATATTATTTTACTTTAAGTTCTGGGATACATGTGCAGAACATGCAGATATGTTACATATGTATACATGTGCCATGGTGGTTTGCTACACCCATCAACCCATCATCTGTGTTTTAAGCAACACATTAGTTATTTATCTAATGCTTTCCTTCCCCTTGGACCCCACCCCCTGACAGGCCCTGGTGTGTGTTGTTCCCCTCCCTGTGTCCATGTGTTCTCATTGTTCATCTCCCACTTATGAGTGAGAACATGTGGTATTTGGTTTTCTGTTCCTGTGTTAGTTTGTTGAGACTGATGGCTTCCAGCTTCATCCATGTCCCTGCAAAGGACATAAATTCATTCTTTTTTCATTTTTATTTATCTTCTTTGGAGAAATGTTTATTAAAACTTTTGCCCATTTTTGAATTGGGGTTTTTTGTCGTTGACTTGTAGGAGTTCTTTATATATTCTGGTATTAATTCCTTAGTAGATACATGATTTGCAAATACTTTTCCCATTCTATGGGTTGTCTTTTCTCTCTCTCCATATGAATTTTAGGATGAATTTTTCTATTTCTGTAATGCCATTGTAATTTTGATACAGATTGCTTTGAATCTGTGGATTGCTTTGGGTAATATTGTCATATTAACAATATTAAGTCTTCTTCCAATCCAGAATACTGGATGTCTTTTCATTTATTTAAGTCTTCTTTAATTTTTATTAGCAATTTTTTTTTTTTTTTTTTTTTTTTTTTTTTTGAGACAGAGTCTCGCTCTGTCGCCCAGGCTGGAGTGCAGTGGCCGGATCTCAGCTCACTGCAAGCTCCGCCTCCCGGGTTCACGCCATTCTCCTGCCTCAGCCTCCCGAGTAGCTGGGACTACAGGCGCCCGCCACCTCGCCCGGCTAGTTTTTTTGTATTTTTTTTTAGTAGAGATGGGGTTTCACCGTGTTAACCAGGATGGTCTCGATTTCCTGACCTCGTGATCCGCCCATCTCGGCCTCCCAAAGTGCTGGGATTACAGGCTTGAGCCACCGCGCCCGGCCTATTAGCAATATTTTGTAGTTTCCAGTGTACAAGTCTTTCACCTCGTTGGTTAAATTTATCCTTAAGTACTTTATTCTTTTGAATGCTATTGCAAATAGAATTTTGTTATTATTAATTCTGTTATTACTGCTTTTTAAAAGACCAGATCTTGCTATTTTGCCCAGGCTGGAGTGCAGTGGTATGATCATGACTCATTGCAGCCTCGAATACCTGGGCTCAAGTTATCCTTCTGCCTTAGCCTACTGAGTAGCTAAGGACTACAGGCGTGTGCCATCACGTTCAGCTAATTTTTTTCTCTTTCTCTTCACTGTTGTGTGAATTCCACATGGAAATCCTCTCTGTCTTTCCTTTCCTTACAAAACACGAATACAGAAATCTCTAGTAGACTTGACTAAGCAGTGCGGAATACCCGTTTTCGAAGCTAGTTAGGGCTAAATGCATACTTCTAGATCAGAGCAAACTGTATGACCTATCTGTTTCACTCCCCTTATGCTCAAATACATATCTTTGATCTTATCACACTCTGTCTCCATGGAAGGAAGAGAGGAGAAGACAGCTACATCCATGTATTATGATCCTTTAATCATATCAATTCCTTTTTGTGAAAGACAGACCCGAGGAGAGGAAAGGAGACACGTCTAAACTTCTCTTACAGGCAGCAGAATATATAATCGCTCTAATCATTAGCAAATTTTAATTTACCAGTTAAAATATTAATAAGATTGCATCTAATTTCCTTTAATGAAATTCAAAGCATTTTCCATTTTCTAGCTCTTATTTCTTTGCATTTCTTCTCACAATTCTTTACCATGGATTATTTACCATTAACACCCCAAATTCACTTCCTTGCCTGTCTTCATTTGCTTATATTGTTCCCTCTTGCCTGGTGTATCTACACAGTCAAACCCAGGCAAAGGAGCAAGATTCTATTTAGTTCTCAAGGTTCAATTTATCTGTTATCTCCTTTGTGTGAAGCATTAGTATCCATATAATTAGTGTTCTCACTAATTCTGAAGCACTTAAAACTTTATCACATTATTAAATTTTGTGTCTGCATATATGCATACTTGCCTTTCTTGAATGAAGACTAAGAGCTTCTTGAAGGAAAGTATCATATCCATAATCAACTTTTTAAAAACTCCAGTCATTGCCACCATGCTTTGTATACTGTAGACGTTTGCTGAAGCATTTTGAAAGAACAAATGAATGTGAAAGAAATATGAATTTACTTGGTGGGAATTGCTGAAGAGCTCTCTGGTGCTGTGAAATCTGCTTTTATTTTTTATACATTTGTGTTAAAATATATATTTAATGCTGATAGAATGTTAAAACTGGTCTCATTTTTACATCCCCCTTGCTTTGCATTCTTTCATATGTTATTTGGAGTTTAAACATATATTTCTCACCAAAAATGTAATTCATATGTAAGAAATAAAAGAAAATATATTGTTTTCTTAGGGAAATCAAATTTGTTTATTCTCATATAGTTTGGAATTTTTAAGTATTTTGACAATTCTTAAATAATAATTTGAATTTTTGTGTAACTAAGAAACACCATTATTTATATCTAATTTGCATCACATTTTATTAAGAAAATAATTGATATTGCTCTTTCATTTCAGCTAAACCATTTACTTCTAAAGTGAAACAAATGCGATTACATAGAGAAGACTTTGAAATATTAAAGGTGATTGGTCGAGGAGCTTTTGGGGAGGTAAGAGATTAAGATTTGATAGAAGGTCTGCTAATTGTTTTGGTAGCTGTTGAACACAGTTGTGAGAGAAATTAACAAGTATTGTTACTTGTTACTTGTTAAACAATATTTGTTAAGTTGTGATTGATGTGATTGTGCTGTTGTGATTGATACAATTGCTCAGAAAATGAAGTGTTGAATGAAATATTTCTACTTGGAATTTTTTTTTAAGATCATGTTTTCATATGTACTTCATATGTCAATGTAAATATGAGTGTGTTTCTAGACTCTTTCGTTCTGTTGGTCTATTTATTTGTCTTATTCTAGTATATAAGGAATCTTGATACCTGGTAGTGTGTATAACTCCGACTTCCTTTTTCTACCCCTCTCCCATCTCTCCTCCCCTGATATTTTCATAGTATTTTATTTTGTGTATGTATGTATGTGTTTATTTTTGAGATGGAGTCTCCCGCTGTTGCCCAGGCTGGAGTGCAGTGGCGTGATCTCGGCTCACTGCAACCTGCACCTCCCGGCTTCGAGTGATTCTCCTGCCTTAGCCTCCTGAGTAGCTGGGATTATAGGCATCCACCATCAGGCCCAGCTAATTTTTGTATTTTTAGTCAAGTCGGGGTTTCGCTGTGTTGGTCAGGCTGGTCTTGAATTCCTGACTTCAAGTGATCTGCCTGCCTTGGCCTCCTAGAGGATATTTTCATAGTATTTTAGAATCAGTTTTTCAGTTTCTACTCACTCGTAGAGATACACATACACGGCTGGGCACGGTGGCTCAAGCCTGTAATCCCAGCACCTTGGGAGGCCAAGACGGGTGGATCACGAGGTCAGGAGATGGAGACCATCCTGGCTAACAAGGTGAAACCCCGTCTCTACTAAAAAATACAAAAAACTAGCCGGGCGAGGTGGCCGTCAGGTGGCGGGCGCAGGTAGTTCCAGCTACACGGGAGGCTGAGGCAGGAGAATGGCGTGAACCCGGGAGGCGGAGCTTGCAGTGAGCTGAGATCCGGCCACTGCACTCGTGCCTGGGTGACAGAGCAAAGACCCCGTCTCAAAAAAAAAAAAAAAAAAAATACACATACATGTACGCGCACACATACACACACACACACACACTCACTCTCTCTCTCTCTGTCTTTTCCAGGAATTTGGGTTAAGTTTGTATTGAAACTGGAGATCAGTTTGCAGTTAATTGGCATCTTAACAATACTACTGAATTAGCTAATCCATAGACATGGTATATTCTTCCATTTATTTAGGGCTTTATAAGTTTCTCTCAATACTGTTTGGTAGTGTTCATTCAGTATAGAAGACCACATCTTTCAGCAGATTTATTCCTGGATATGTGATATTCTTGATATTATTTTAATTAGAATTGTTTGTGAAATTTCATTTCCTAATTGTTTTCTTGGTAGTAGTTAGAAGTATAATTTAATTTTATTGATCTTATACCTTGTTATACTTTTCAAATTAGGAATTTTGTTGAATTTTATTAATACTTTGTCTGCATCTTTTGGGACATTCATGGTTTTTCTCCTTTACTTTATTAATGTGTTGAATTAGGCTGTTATATTTTCACATGTTAAACAATCTTTGCATTCCTAAAATAAGCCCAATTGGCTTGTGATATGTTACCCCTTTGTATGTACCAATGGACTTCATGTGCTTTTTCTGTGTTGTTAGGATCTTTGCACCTATGTTCTTAAGATAAATTGGGCTGTAATTTTCCTACTTTGAATGTTCTGATCAGATTTTGGTATCTTGGTTTTGCTGGTCTTACAAGAAGAGGGAAATGTTCCCCCCTTTACTGCTCTCCAGAAGAGTTAGTGAAGATTGTTGTTATTTTTTTCCTCATATGCTTACAAGACTTAACTGGTGAAGCCTCTGAGACCAGAGGTTGCTAGTGAAAAAGTTTTAAATAATATGTTTAATTTCTTTAATGGAAATAAAATGACTTGTATATATGTATTAGTTTTGCTAGGTTTTGCTAGGTTTATCCATTTCATCTAAGTTTTAAAACTTATTACTGTATTGATCATTTCTGTCTTAAAACTTTTCTTGCTAGGGGTTTATCAGTTTATTATCTTTTCCGTGAATTAACTTGGCCTTTTGAATTTTGTTATTGTAGATTTGTTTTCTGGTTATTTAATTTCTGCACTTTATAATATTTTCTTTGGTTTTAACTTGCTATTGTTTTTCTGATTTTTTGAAATAGCATTGATATCTAGCCCTTCTTTTCAAATCTGTGGTTAAGGCTATATATTTTTAGCTATAGCAGACATATTTTGATATGTCATATATATGTATATATTTTTTGCTTAAAATACAGTGTGATTTTAAATCTCTATTTTTTGATCTATGAATTTAAAGTCCATTAAAAAAATTTCTAAACATTTAGAAAATTTTCTAGTTTGTTTTTTAATTATTATTATAATGTAATTTAAAAGTGGTTAGAACACATACTCTATGTGATTGGAATCCTTTGAAATTTGCTGTGCAGTGTTCTGTAAATATCACTTAGGTCAAGTTCAAAATCTTGTTTAAATCTTCAACATCCTTACTTTCTGTTTTTTTCAGTTTGATCTGTCATTTCCTGAGAGAGGATTTCTTCATTTCTTTCAGTTTTTGCTAATAACATATGTACAGTTATTATATCTTCCTGGTGATTAACTCATTCATCATTATGGAGTGTTCCCATTATCTCTAGAGTTTTTTGATGTAAATTTTCCTTAATCTGATATTAGTAGAACTACTCCAACTCTTTTTTATTAGTATTTTCATTAAATATCTTATTCTGTCCTTTTAGTTTTAGCTTTCTATAAACATGTGGTATGTTTCCTGTTCAGTAGAATATAATTAGGTTTTTGTTTTATATTTGTTTTACTCATTTTGTGTTATTTTTCTCTCATTTCTTGCTTTTTCTTGGATTAATGGAATATTTTAAATTATACCTCCCAATTTTATCTTCTTTTATGGGTTCCCCTGGTGATTACCACACGTATCCTTGGTAAATTTATATTTTGCCAATTCCCATTTACCCAATTTCTACCTTTTTTTTTTGGTCATTGCTGTCATGTATTTTAGTTCCATATATATTTGAAACCCCAATATATATATTGTACCTATTTATGTAGGTTTACCCACATATTTATATTTTCTCTGCTCTTCACGTTCATGTACTTACCTTTGGGATCATTTTCCTTTTGACTTAAACATTCCCTTTAATATTTCTGTTTTATATTTAGAGACAAAGTTTTGCTTTGTCTCTCTGGCTGCAGTGCAGTGGTATGATCATAGCTCACTGCAGCCTTGAATTCCTGGGCCCAAGTGATCCTCCTACCTCAGCATCCTGGGTAGCTAAGACTGTAGATGTGCACCAGCATGCTTGGCTAATTTGTAAATTTTCTTGTAGTGATGGGATTTTACTACATTGCCCAGGCTGGTTTCAAACTCCAAGGCTCAAGCAGTGCTCCTGCCTCAGCCTCCCAAAGTGCTGGGGTTATAGTTATGAGGCACTGTGCCTGGCCCCCTTTAGTATTTCTTCAATGTAAGTCTGCTGATGACAAATTTTCTGATTTTATTTGTCTGAAAAAATATTTTTTTGAGGTTCTAAAATTAAAAAAAAATTGAAGTATATTGTATACACATACACATCAGTTTTAAAAAATATACACACATACAACTTGATGGATTTTTACATTTTTTTAGGGTACAAAACAAGAAATGGCATTTTATTCTTATGCCATTTGACCATAGCATTCTTTTTTTATTTTCTATTTTTTTATTTGAGATGGAGTTTTGCTCTTGTCACCCAGGCTGGAGTGAAATGGTGCAATCTTGGCTCACTGCAACCTCCACCACCCGGGTTCAAGTGATTCTCCTGCCTCAGCCTCCCAAGTAGCTGGGATTACAAGTGCCTGCTACCACGCCTGGCTAATTTTTATATTTTTAGTAGACATGCGGTTTCACCTTGTTGGCCAGGCTGGTCTCGAACTCCTGACCTCAGGTGATGCACCCATGTTGACCTCCCAAAGTGCTGGGATTAACAGGCGTGAGCCACCATGCCCGGCCTTATTTATTTATTTTTTAATTTTTGTGGGTACATAGTTTATGTATTTATGGAGTATATGAGATATTCTGGTACAGACATGCAATGCTTAATAATTGCATCATGGAAAATTGGATACCCACGTTATTTCAGAATGGACATTCAGGCATTCAAGCCTTTATCCTTTGTGTTACAGAAAATCCAGTTGTACTTAGTTATTTCAAAATGGACAATTATTATTGGTCCTTTATGTTACAAAAAATCCAGTTGTACTCTTTTAGTTATTTCAGAATGGACAATTAAATTATTATTGACTACAGTGCCCCTGTTGTGCTACCAAATACTAGGTCTTGGTCATTCTGTTTTTTTTGTACTCATTAATCATCCCCATTTCCTCCTTTTTTTCCACGTCGTCAGTAGCATTTGTTACTGCCTGACTTGTGGATAAAAGTCATTTTAACTGGGGTGAGATGATACCTCATTGTAGTTTTAATTTGCATTTCTCTGGTGATCAGTGATGTTGAGCACTTTTTTCATATGCCTGTTTGCCATTTGTATGTCTTTTTTATCAAAATCTTGAGCCCATTTTAAAAACTGGATTATCAGATTGTTTCCTATAGAGTTGTTTGAATTCCTTGTATATTCTGGTTATTTAATCCCTTGTCAGATGAGTAGTTTGCAAATACTTCCTCCCATTCTGTGACTTGTCTCTTCACTTTGTTGATTGTTTCCTTTGCTGTGCAGAAACTTTTTAACTTGATGTCATCTTATTTGTCCATTTTTTGCTTTGGTTGCCTGTGTTTTAAGAAATTTTTGTGCAGACCAGTGTCCTGGAGATTTTCATCAATGTTTTCTTTTAGTAGTTTTATACTTTGAGGTATTAGACTTAAGTCTTTAATCCATTTTGATTTGTTTTTGATATAAGGTGAGAGATAGGGATCAAATTTCCTTCTTCTGCATATGG